CTGGAATCTTGCCTTCCCGAAGGGAGGCGTTAACCACCACCGTTACCCACTCAGCCAATCCCCCTCTGGCCTCCTTCAGAAGCCAGGATGGGCAGGGGTCTAGGATGGACGTAGTGGGTCTCATTCCTCCAAGTATCTTGTCCACATCCTCGGGCTTCACAAATTGAAAAGAATCCATCAAAATAGGACAAGCAGGTGCTCGTGTCACATCCACAGAGACTGCATTTAATGTGGCGTCCAGCCCAGAACGGATCAAAGCGACTTTGTCTGCAAAGAACCGAGCAAATGCTTCACAGCGCGTGGCCGAATTGTCAGGGCTCCCGCCTGAGATGGCGGGAGTTAAAAGACCTCTGACAATCCGGAACAACTCCGCCGGACGGTTCCTTGCAGACGCAATAGTGGCTGCAAAGAAAGTTTTCTTTGCGGCTTTTATTGCCGCGGCATATGCCCTTAAAAAGGACACAAACCGTGTTCGATTTGACTCGCTCATCTATGTCAGGATGTATATAAGTAGTTATATTTACAAGATATTGTAGAAACTGACCACACTAAGTCAATCTTCACATCTCTTGAACCAGAACATAATTAGGCCCTTGCCCACTTGAAAAAAAGCTCTTTTGGGCTATTCTGAGCAGACAGTGCTAATGGATCAGAATCATGTCTCCCTACATCACTCCAGTGAAATAGGCATTCACATGAATTCTAGTATATCTTTAGTTGGACTACTTTCAAGTTTTCCAACCGTGCTACTTTCATGACCCATTTTATGAGTCTCAGCTCCTTTGAAAACCAGATGACTGATTTGATTCTACTCAACAGGAGTTGACAAGAAAAATCCCAAATATGTCCACTTTCTGAGATGGATCATATTGTTTGGTCTCTTATCCCTACAGCAAGTCCAAGCGAGTGCAAATATCACTTCTCTTCCATTAGTGCACAATAATGTTTTAGAAGGTTTCTTGATATCTATGTAGCCAGCATCCTAACCACTACAGATAAAACAGATTCAGAATGTGCCCTGTGAATGTGTGGTGCCAGATGTTAATTACAGAAGGCCCATGGTTGTAACGGAAATCATAAAATGTTAGACCACTCCTTGCAGCATGTTATGTTTGAAGTCCTGCAAGACAAGAAGTCCATATTTATATTYATTCTGTCTAGTAGTAGTAGTGTCAGGATGTGCCTTCATGAAGAACATTCCAAGAAGTCTTCTTCCTGACACTAGAGGGAGTAGACATGATAGATTAGTCTAGGGTAGGGCCATCTGGGCCAAGCTTTCACTTTGAAGATGGTGGGAAAGGAATTGTAGTCTAAACTGTGATAAGAGAGGGGCAGGAGGGGGGAGCGAAGCCAGGAGGGGGGATAGAGAGGCGCTTGGCGGGAAACCCTCAGTTCTCTCTTTGCTCTGTACTGTATGGACTGAATAAACCGCAATTCCAGGATCTGTCCTTGTGAGTGTGTGTTTCATTCTGAGATCCAGCGGAACCTGGAGTAGTAATAACAATAATAATAATAAATCTTTGTGCAAGGAAGCTGATAAAACCATGGATCATATCTTCAGCTGTTGCAAGAAAATCRCACAGACGGACTACAAACAGAGGCACAACTCCATGGCCCAAATGATTCACTGGAACTTATGTCACAAGTATCACCTGCCAGCAGTAAAGAATTGGTGGGATCATAAACCTGCAGAGGTAGTGGAAAATGAACACGCAAAAATACTGTGGRACTTTCGAATCCAGACTGACAAAGTTTTGGAACACAATACACCAGACATCATGATTGTGAAAAAGAAAAAAAATGGATTATTGATGTCGCCATACTGGGTGACAATCGCACAGAGGAAAAACAACAGGAAAAACTCAGCTTTGGCATAAACCAGTACAGGTGGTCCCAGTGGTCATTGGCACACTGGGCGCCATGCCAAAAGATCTCAGCCGGCATTTGGAAACAATAAACATTGACAAAATCATGATCTGTCAACTGCAAAAGGCCACCTTACTTGGATCTGCCACATCATTCGAAAATACATCACATAGTCCTAGATGCTTGGGAAGTGTTCAACGTGATTTTGTGATAGGAAATCCAGCATATAGATGTCGTTTCCTGTGACATACTATGTTTTTGTGTCGGTAAAATAATAATAATAAATCTTAATTTATATCCTGCTTTTCTCTCTATCAACCATACATGTAACAATACAACCAACTATAAAATAAAACATAAATAAATATCTTAAAATCATTTAACAGATACACATGTTGTGATACAATAGTACCTCACCTGAGATCCAGCACCATACCTGAGACTGCCCTAGCTAGTCCATAAGGAGAAATGGTTGGCAAGAGAGGCTGGTACCCTAAATACCCACCTTTAGATGTAGACACTAAAAGCAGGTAGGCGTCAGGATGGGACATCTGACTAGTTGGACAAAATCATGATCAGCTCATGCAACCTTCTCTCTCCTTAGTATTGTACTTGATAGTGAACCTATGTCTTGCTTAATAGTATGTGCACACATTAGGATGACATAGAAGTATGCCATCCTAATAGCCTGCTTATTAAGGCCTGCCCAGCTGCTGTTACGACAACTTGGCATTGGCCAAAGAGACTCCTAGAGATCACGTAGGCTTCTTTGAAAATTCTATGTTGTACCCTTCCTTCTATTGATCTTGCTTCTTTTTTTATTTATACATATCACTTTTACATATCACTCTCTGGTGTCATCTATTACAGTGGTTGATCCTCATGTCCTTCCATCTCTTTGTCACCTTCTAAAATGCAGTTCTTCCACCAACATGCACAATTGTTCACCCTCTTTCTCTTAGAGAGATTTCCATTGGCATTGACCCTGCCTGCAAGAACATTCCTGCCAAGATAGCCTTCCTCTAATAAGCTGCTACTGGCTGGATATTTTTCTGGCAAGAAAGTGGTGCTGAGGCTGGCAGGGATGGTTAAATTTCGGCCCTCCGGCCATTTTGAACTTCAACTTGCAGAAATCCCAACTAACAGCTTACTGGCTGTTAGGAATTGTGGGAATTGAAGTTCAAAACACCTAGAGGGCAAAAGTTTGACCATGCCTGCTCTAGGAAGCAGAACTTTCTGGTCCTGAATGAAGTCAGGTAGGCAAAGGTGGTACATGCAGCACCCTTACAGGAGTCTGTGATAAGGGGCACTACTTCTCCTATTGATGTTGCCTGGCGATGCATTTTAAATGAATAGTAGCAAGAAAATGTCTGGTTGCTCCTGACACGATAGATAAATAAATAAATAAATAGCAAGAAGCGCGCGCGCGCACACACACACACACACACACACACACACACATATATATATATTAACCCACAGGCATAATTACATTGCTGTGTATATGTATCTACACAGACAAGCATATGTGGTATTTGGTGTGTGTGTCAGTGTATTTGCAAGAATGTGGCTCTGAGCTTTGACCATCACTTCATTTAGCTGCGCAATAATTTTTATTCTTAAAAGCAGTGTAATTTCCAGCCCATTGGTTTATCCAGCTCAGGATTGTTACAAACCTTTAAATCTATATCAAGTAAATGATGAATTACAGGTTGAGTGGGACTAGAATTGCTCCATATTTTGGATTTTGGAATACTTGTATATATACACAATGAAATATCTTGGAGGAGGTACCCAAGTCTAGACATGAAATTTATCCATATGTATATGCATAGCCTGAAAGTAATTATGAACACAATATTTTTTAATAATGTTCAGTTTTCTAGAGCGTTTATGTTTTAGGTTGTGTTTTGGTTTTATTTTTATTGTATTTGTTGTTTGAGCTTGGCCTCATGTAAGCCGCTCCGAGTCCCCATTGGGGACATGGTGGCGGGGTACAAATAAAGTTCATTATTATTATTATTATTATTATTATTATTATTATTATTATTATTATTTATTGGGTATATTGAACCATCAGAAAACAAGTGTCACTGTTTTAGGCACTGATGTGGGCAACTTTGGAAAATTTTAGATTTCTGAATGCTCAAATCATACTGCTTTCTAAGTCATTCAAATATTGTTCTCAGTTTTCTGTTTTACTTAGTTGTGTTGTTTCAGATTATACCCCTCATCAAAATTATTCCTTTATCAACCTTTATTTTGTACATTTTGAAGGCAAATAATATAAATTAACACATTAAAATGTTTTTTTCTTTTTTTCCTTAACATTTCAGATGGAGATGAAAAGACACTTCTCTCTAAGAAGGAAAAAATGAAGCTGCGAAAAGACAGATGGCTGCAGAGTAAGTATTGTTTTCCTGTGTCCTGTTTCCACACAGGACTCCAAGATATTCATTACAGGATTATTGTCTAATTTAAGAGCAGACAATGTGGTGATCTGAAAATCTGAATCTCAGTTACTTTCACCAAAGCTCACCAACTGTGAAGTCGTTTTTTGGTGTATGAAGGCATGCTGGCCTAAGTGATTATACATAGGTATATATAATCAGGTGGCTGGTGAGTGTTCCTGCCAAAACCAGAGCCACTCTGATTCTGCCAAAACACCTAAAGATCCATGTACAAGATGACATTTCCAGTAGTAGTAGTCACTTTCCGTGTCTGAAACTCTGGTTAAATGTCATGTGGACCCTATTCATGTGTAAATCAGGACCTAAATGCTGAACATTTTGTAGAGACAGGCAGAGAAATTTGGGAGGGGTCGTAGAGCTGTTGTCTGCCCTTGTCCTCCACTAACCTCCCACTTACTGGCTGAACTTTTCCAGTTGTGGGGGCTGAAGGGCTGGGGACAGTTAGTTGTTAAAAAAGAAAGAAGGTAGGCAGAGGGGGAGGGAGAAGTAGAAAACAGCTTTAGGATTCCCAAGTTTTTCAACTGGTCTCTAGGGAGCCTTGTGAACCTTTCCTGTTCCATCCCAGGAATTTATGCAAAGCTCATTGTCAGACAGTGAGGGTGACGTGCCTTTTAAGCACACTTTAACTGCCCTTCTGTTGTCATTTCACAAGGACATGCACACTTGTATGAACATCCCTGGCAATACAAATGTAGAATTAAGGAGAGGTTTGCCAGAAGTAACATATTTACACAGCAACAGCTGCCTCAAAAATGTCCCAGTCCTTTGTGTTTTAAGAGTGAGAAATAGCTCTTTCCTTTGGAGGGATATTAACTCAAAAAGAAACATTAAGGTTTAGATATATAAACTTTTAGTTTATTAGAAATGTGTTACAGGAGATAAAATGTTTGTTCAACATGCCAACTGTAGTGAATCTACTTTCCAGTTAGGCTTAGAATAGGCCTAGGAAAATAGTAGGCCCAAGGAGTCGGCAGCCATCTTAGAAGGAGGTGCCGAGGGAATCCATTTTGTCACTCATTTCCAGGGCATGTTTAGTAAAAGCAGCCTTTTGGAGAGAAATGAGAGAGAAATGGGATTGGCTTAGTTAGAGTGGGCGGAGCCTAACTTAGAAGAGGAAAAAACTCTTCTAAGGAGTTCGAACTTGGGTGTTGAAGAGAGAGGGTGCTTAGGAGATTAGTGGTGTTGAGGGTTAGTAGTAAAGGCTTGAGATTGGCCAGAGTTTACTAACAGGGTAGCTAGTGAAGACTTACAGCTATTAGGAAGATAACTGGGTAGGAGCAAGATAGAGCCAAATTAGGACTATCTGTGCTGCTGAAGAATTTCTGTCAGAGAAACTACCCTGTCAGGATTCTTGTTTTTGGAGGGAGAGAGAAGAGTTTCTGAAATAGCAAAGTCAGAACTGTTTTTGTAACCATTACTCTTTTAAGACAAATCTCTGAAACAGCCAAGCTAGTACCTGCATTCTTCCTGTTCTTATTAATAAACTTTATTGTTCCTGGTTCATCACATCTGACTCAAGTGTGCCTCTGTGCTTAAAGATTTCAAAAGCAGCTTTAAGCTGTTGTCAAGAATTTAATGGTGGCAGCATATGTTTTAGAGAACTAACTCAAAGGGTACCTCAGAAACACAAGCCTGAGGGCTAGTACCATCACACTCTTTCACAAGTTATCTCAAGTAAGCCAAGGGCTTATCAGCACTGTTAAGTGGGTGTGTGCCAGTGCGCTTTCAAATAGGGTTTGTTTCGGCCAGGAAGAAAGTGCTCAGCTTTCTATCTATCAGCTTTTTGATTTTTGGCTTTCAAATACCAGAAGATCATTTGAGAGTCTGCATCTCACTAATTAAATTATCTAATTAAATAACCCTCTTCGCTATAATTGGTGGCAAGCGCTGGGATTATTTTTATTTCCCCCCTCATTATACCAACCCAGTGAGGAACTTCCAGAATCAGGAGGAAAGGCAGGTGAGATCTTCTGGAGGCTATGGTGCTGTCTAGTGGCAAATTGTGAACTATCCAGCCATAGAAAGAAAGTACAAAGAAAAGGAAAGGAAAGGAAAAAGAAAATGGAGGTAAACCAGTTACAATGACCTTGCTTCACAGGAGGAAAGTTAAGAATAGACTAGAGGAAAGCTGCCTCTTCAAAATCCAATGATGATTCAGCATCTTTAAATCTATTTACAATTCAAAACAGCTCCTGAGCAGTAGATACGACCACAGAACACGTTGGTGCAGAAAGTACATGATAATCACTGTTCATTTAATAAAAGCAGATGAGTGCAGATGTTGAGTTACTATAATTTTAGCCCTGAATTTTATTCTCTTAATGTTTGACTGGAACAGATCCAAAATAATACTTGCTTTGAAACCTGCTTAACTTGATTAACATCTAGTGCCCATTTGTTCATCTACAAATCCCAACAAGTCCAAAAGACAAACAAACCTCATAATGTTTTCAAAGTAATAACTGGATATCTTTGCAGAGATGAAAATTGAATTTTATCCTACTTACATAATAGCAGTTACTTAGGGTATATTTCATTCCAAGCAAAAATAAATCATTGTGAGTCCAAAGTCATCGTCATCATGACGATGATTTAAATCTCGGTTAGTAGAAGCATGTACACAGGCCCAGTGGCTCATCTCCTAAACAGATTTTACAAGGAAAAGAATTTCAAGCTTGGAGTAACATAGTTTTATAGCACCAGACCAAAAAAAGAAGTGCTGTGGTGCAGAGGCCAGTACCTTCTTGCCAAGAAAACCCTTCCAACGTAGATTGTATACAATGATTATTTTTCATATGTATCTGTTAAAAACAACAATGACAGGTCAGCTGGAAGAAGCAAGGATGCTGTGGACCTAAATGTCAAAGAGCATAACTGGGGGCTGAAGAGATCTAGGGGGCAAAAGAAATCCAGTTGACAAAACGGGATAATATTAATTAACTGCTTGAACGATAAGCCTGAAAATTAATAGACTCTTATCTGTGTTCCTTGGAGCTAAATAGTTCCTACATAATCTACTGTGCCATGTCTAAGATTTACTTATTTAGTGTGTAAGTCATGTTTGACAGTAAAATAATTCTCAGAACAATAAAACAATAAAACTTCTAAATGGCTATCAGCTTGCAAACACAGACATATTTGAGTTTATCGTTGTACTGATTCGAGAAGATGCCAATAATTTGTGATAAGGCCACCAATTTGTAAACGTTTGTAAAGGAGCCACCACTTTGTAAGGGTTTATTAAATTGATAGCGTAGCTTATAGACAATAATATTGATTTGGTCTTACTTCTGTGTAGCGTGACTTAACTTGGAAAGGAATTGTATCAGAGACAAGGCTTTAGGAAAAACAGTAACAAGTTTATTGAAATGTAGAAGGAGCGTGATGGTTTCAATGTTTCTTGCTCTTAGAGGCACATATCTTCAAAGGTTACAGTTATAACATTCCTTATACAATTCTGGTAAGGACTCTTACTTCCACTAAACAGGTTTCAAACTTATTTTTCTTCAAACTGTGTTTTTTTCCTTAATAGATTATTTCAGTTACAAGCTTATTCTTTCTTTGTGATGTTTCTGTTGCAATAGAGATTCTCACTGGGTTTCTCTCACCCTTTCTCTCATGCACTGACTTTTAATATAAATAAGTCAACTCGACTTGTTTAAACTGCTCAGGCTAAAAGCCAAAACCTTGCTAATTCTCACTACCGTAGAATCAGTCTTTCCCTGTAGTTTTTAAACTACATAATACCTTCCTGGTTCTCACTACTCAACAGAACCAGCCACTCCTACAGTTCACAGACTAGACTAACTTACTGGTTCTTAACACACAACAGAACCAGCCTTCCTGCAGACTGCAGACTAACTGCTTTAAAATGGCTGCCCTGCCAAGTGGCAGTTGGCTCTGCCCGTTTCCATGGTAACCCAGCTCGACATGAGCTGAGCTGGCTACCGTCCCCCTTAGTTACGCAACTTTAAATACTTACCCTTTAAAACATCTATCTATAATTATACATAACTTCAAGTTAAAAATTTACACTTCACCACAATCGTGTTGCATAAAGAAGGGGTTTCCTTCCATGTTTGATCAAGTTAGGAAATGCTGGGAGGACGCAAGGACACTCAGCCAGGAGTAGGAGTCTTGAAGCCAGCTTCCTTGGGGACCTTCAAACCAGCTTCTTTGGAAAGCATTTAAAAAAAAAAACTTTGTTGCTTTGCTCCAGGACTATGTTGGGTATGTTGTCCCTAGGAAAAGAGGCAGTGTGAGGGAGTTGGAACCCCATTTCTTTGTAAGACCAAATGGGGGTTAAGAAATTCCTCTGCTTTTGATCCACGGCCACTTTTTGGCTCTTTAAAAAGGGAGCTTGCCTTCAGGCTGGATCACAATTTGCAGCAGTTTCTTCCTGTGCGTCAGGGGGTTGGACTAAGTGGCCTTGACGGTCCCTTCCAGATGTAAGCTTCTGTGATTCTTTATCAGCATTACTAATATTCAGGAAATGTGGATATCCTTTAGTAAGGACTACATTGTTATTTTAAAGGGCCTGAAAACATGGCTTTTCGAGATGGCCTTCAACTGAGTGCTATGTTATTGGAATTGACGACTGGAATGGACTACGACTATGAGATTGATTATGACCACATGTTAAGACGAAGCGGATTTTTAGTATAAGTAGATGTTATGTAGCAGTAGAATGTTGTCGTTCTGTCTTGACCTATTGTAAATTGTCTTTTCTATGTTTTTGTACACCGCCGCGAGTCGCCCTAGGGCTGAGAGCGGCGGTTAATAAGTGCAAGTAATAAATAAATAAATAAATAAATAAATAAATAAAAGACCTCTTGCAAGAATGTATGCAAAAGTGAGTTATGGCAGAGGGGGCATAAGTAGTTTTTTAAAAGTGAGGTATTTATTTATTTTTATTAGGGAAAACGAGGCTGCTGAATTTTGTGTAACAGAGTTTGTAAAAACCATAAGGGTCAGCCAGTCCAACCCCTTTCTGTCATGCAGGAATAATACAATCAAAGCCTTCCTGGCAGATGGTGGTCTAATATTTGTTTAAAAACCTTCAGAAAGAGATTTCACCACAGTCAAAAGGCAGCATTTTCTACTATCAATCAGCCCTTACTGTCAGGAGGGTGTTCCTAATATTTAGGTGGAACGTCTTTTCTGTGTCTTAGGCTGATTAAGCACTGTCCTGTATCCCAGGATCTGATCCCAGATTATCTGCTTTGAACTGGATTATATGAGTCTACACTGCCAGATAACTGCTGGATTGCGTTGGATTGCGTCCCTCACTTTTTAAAACCCTCCTACGAGTTATATCCTACCTTGTTCATGCCCAGCGTTATTTTTTAAATTTTTAAATTATTACATTTGGCCTGGCCATAGGTTTTTAAATCCTTGTGTGTTATTGTTATATGTGATTTATATTAATTTGCATTGCACTGTATTGTTTTGTTTATTGCTGTTCTGTTTTGATGTATTATTGGGCTTGGCCTCATGTAAGCCGCTCTGAGTCCCTTGGGGAGATGGTGGCGGGGTATAAATAAAGTATTATTATTATTATTATTATTATTATTATTATTATCTGAGTGTGGACTCAGATAACCCAGTTCAAAGCAGATATTGTGGGATTTTCTGCTGTGATCTTCTGGGATTTAGGGCAGTGTGGAAGGAGGAGAGAGTAGCTGTATGGAGGAGAGAGTAGCAGCCTTCTCTCTCCTCCACATGTCATTCTTTCAAACATTTAAAATTCCAATCTGCTAACAGTTGTTTGTCTCTTTTGTTAGAAATAGAAGGCATTAAAGTAGCAAAACAACAGCAAAAAGCTGAGGCAAAGCGAAAAGCCACCCCAGTTATTGGAGATCTGCACCCCTTGATGGATGCCCTGCCTGAGCTCTCAGATCTGGTGACAGTCCGCAAGTTCCCGAAGTACCATAAGATGTAAGTATTGGATATGAAAATATTTGTTGACCATGCAGTAAAATATGATAAAATCCTAAATTCACAAGTAGTGATAATTTTTTTGAGCTAACATGCTTTGTTGGCTTCTTCATCCGTGAAGGTGTAATAATTATACAAAAGAAAATGGCGAGAATGCTAAGGTTACAGACTTCTACGTTATCTCAGGCCCCTCCTTCGCCGCCATATACTCCAGTTTGTTTGTTTGTTTACTATATTTATATACCCTTTCTCTCAGCCCACAGGCGACTTGGGGTGGTTTACAGTCGGTACCAAGACCATAAAATATAATTACAATACCATAAAAACATTCAGATAATATAAAACCATAGCAAAGTCAATAGAAGCATATATCATTAGGGTCTCCTTGTTAAAACATTGCCAATCATATCGTCCAACCATCCCATTTTCCTATGTCTGTTGCACTATGTTTGCAAACACCTGCTCAAAAAGCCAAGTCTTGACTCTTTTCCTAGGGAGGGCATTTCATAGCCATGGGGCCACCACTGAGAAGGCCCTGTCTCTCGTCCTCGCCAGCCATACTTGTAACGAAGACGGGATCAAGAGCAGGGCTTCCCCAGATGATCTTAAAGTTCTGGAAGGTTCATAAGGAGAGATGCGTTCAGACAGGTAAGTTGGGCCAGAACCATTAGGAGTTTATAGGCCGTTTGAAGCTTTCGGACAGTCTTCAAAGGCAACCCCACGTAGAGTGCGTTGCAGTAGCCTATTCGTGATGTAACCAGAGCGTGGACTACCGTGGCCAAGTCATACTTCCCAAGGTACAGGCGCAGCTGGCGCACAAGTTTTAACTGTGCAAATGCTCCCCTGGTCACCGCTTAAATCTGAGGGTCCAGGATCACACCCAAGCTGCGAACCTGCGCCTTCAGGTTCAAAGCAGATAGTCCTCATTATCTGCTTTGAACCGGATTATATGAGTCTACACTGCCAAAATAATCCAGTTCAAAGTAGATCATCTGGATTTTGTATGGCAATGATGAAGGGATGTCAGATGGTGTCAGTTAAGATGGTCTGGAAGGATCTCAATGTAGGCAGAATCCACTTCTCTTCTTACTAATGTACGAACTAGAGACACAAGGGATAAAAGAATAAATGTTACACAATTTCATCTCCATTAGCAACAGAAAAATAACACCCTTTGAAAATCAGATATCCCATGCAAAGCTAATTGCTCTTTCCTTAGAAAAAGAACTTTGAATTTTTAACATGTTCACCTGACGAAGAAGTCAGTTCAAGTTAAAGTATTATTTGCCTTCTTTGCATTATATTCTCGGCTCATGTTCAACCTATGATGAACACTGATTCCAAGGTACTTACCATATTTGAAGCATCCCCCATCTTATAGCTATGCATTAGATGTTTGTGACTTAAAATGATGCAACCCAGGAATGCAGTGTGCTTCTCTACTTTTTCTCTCAAAATCCCAACTGTGGTGCATTTGATCTCTCTTCTATCCCAGACTGGCACCATTCCTATCCAACACTTTTTAAGGCAAGCTACATATAGCGTGTGAAGAGATTTTGACCTCTGTTATAATTGTGGTATTTGACGTTCACAATGATAGGTGTAAAATATATAATATATTCATTTAGATCAAGGAACCCCCAGTGGTGCAATGGGTTAAACCCCTGTGCTGGCAGGACTGAAGACTGACAGGTCGCAGGTTCAAATCGGGGAGAGTGCGGATGAGATCCCTCTGTCAGCTCCAGCTCCCCATCCGGGAACATGAGAGAAGCCTCCCACAAAGATGGTAAAACATCAAAGCATCCAGGCGTCCCTTGGGCAACGTCTTTGCAGACGGCCAATTCTCTCACACCAGAAGTGACTTGCAGTTTATCAAGTTGCTCCTGACACGGGAAAAAAATTAGATCAAGACCAGATACATATTTTGTGTCCCACACTGAATTCTGGAATGATCTGTTTAAAGGTTCAGTTTGGTGGTTAACTTACGCTATTGATTTATTTTCTCCCCCACACAAGAGGGTTTTTTTCCTAGTTCTTTGCAGTTTGAAGCTGTTGCATGTGTGAGCAGAGCTATTTAACGAGGATCAGTTTTTATAAGATTAGTGCAGTTGCATACACGAGGAATTATACCCCCAATGATTTGTCAGCTTTTATTCACAGAAGATTAGAAACTTGATCCCCTGTTGGGGATCAGAGCATTCAAGTGAGGTTTTCATTCTGATATATAATGAATGAAGTCTTCAACTTGTAATGAAACAAGGGTGCTATTCATTGTAGATGACTAAACCTAAGAGCGCTGGCATTTCAGCAGCAGGTCATTGGAGCTGGAATCGAAGTTTCCACAAGTTCAGCAAAGCATTTATACATTTTTATACATTTGCATTCCTTCCATTGCTCATAAGTCATGTTTTAGCATTCCTTGAGAATGCAGCAATTTAACATAATGAGAACCTTCCATGGTCTTTTAAAGCTAATTACAGAGGTCTAAATCTAATTGTTAGCCTTAACAATTGTTAGCCTTAACAGTAAATCTGTTGAACCAACTGAAGCTTGTTAACAGAGCTCATAGGTAAGTTCCATTGATGCAACAACTCTGCTTCAATTGAGACTAGCAGTTGGATTTATGCCAGAGATAGTGGGTGGCACATCTGGCATTAATGTGTAGGCACTGATGTTTAATGGATGTTTAATGGGGTATTGGGTGGCAACCTGTGCTCGATGGGGTTACACTCCCCYTGAAGGTGCAGGTCCGTAGCTTGGGGGTCCTCCTGGACTCAACGCTGTCGCTTGATGCTCAGGTGTCAGCGGTGGCCGGGAGAGCCTTTGCTCAACTCARACTTGTGCGCCAGCTGCGACCATACCTYGTGAAGTCTGACTTGGCCAGGGTGGTCCACTCCTTGGTTACATCCAAACTGGACTATTGTAGTGYGCTCTACGTGGGGCTGCCCTTGAAGACTGCCCGGAAGTTTGATCTGGTACAGCAGACGGCAGCCAAGCTCCTTACTGGAGCAAACTATAGGGAGCATACAACACCCCTATTAAAACAGCTTCATTGGCTGCCGATAAGTTGCCAAGCCAAATTTAAGGTGCAGGTCATGACYTATAAAGCCCTAAACAGTTCGGGCCCCGCCTGTCTCTGCGATTGCATCTCCTTCTATGAACCRGCGCGAGCTCTAGGATGTTCTGGGGAGGCCCTCCTCTTGGTCCCACTAAGATCTTCTGGGGAGGCCCCCTCTCGGTCCCACTACTGTCTCAAGCGTGGTTGGTGGGGACGAGAGAGAGGGCCTTCTCAGTGGTCCCCCCCCCCCGGCCTCTGGAACGCCCTTCCCTCCCCTCTTTTCGTAAGAGCTTGAAGACCTGGTGGTTTCAACAAGCCTTTGAATAATAATAATAATAATAATAATAATAATAATAATAATAATAATATAATAATAATAATTTGAAAATGACCAGTTCTAACTCAGSCCCACACATTGTCTAATACGGCCTTATTCTCTCTACCAGTTACCCAGATTCTTTCCTCTAATCGGCCTTGGAATGGACAGCCACAGGCCTAATATTATTGTTGCCTGCCATAGCATTGCACTTAATTCCCGGCCCCCCTAGAATTTTTGGGCTTGCACAAATCTTGGCCCGGACTTTTAAATTTTTAATTGCCTTGAACAGGCAGGATTACTTTTAATATGTGTGTGTTATGGCGATAATTTTATGTTTATATTTTGTTTGTTAATCTTATGGTGATGTTGTTTTTACTCTGTATGTTTTGTGATATTACTTGGGAACCGCTCTGAGTCCCCTCGGGGAGATGGAGTGATATATAAATAAAGTTTTATTGTTATTATAATGTTCCCACAAAATAACACAAATGGGGCAAAAAACTGCATGAAATTTTGAGGTAAGTCACCATCACACGCATTCAGTTGCAGCTGTCCTTTCTAATTGTCAGAAGATTTGTCTTTAGTTAAGCACAACACAGTGCTTTTTTACTGTTTTGTTTGTTTGTTCAAAATCTCCCCACCCCCTCGCCAATGTTCAAAGTGCATGTAGTCCCAGGCATGATTACAGGAGAAGGTTGGAACTGCTGTTTGAAAATATTGATTCCCTACTGATGACTCTGAAAGAAATCTAACCCAGCAATTTAAAAGGGATGTCAGCCAGGTATAAACTGACACCTGTCTTGTTTGGAAGATGTCAAGATCTCCCAACAAAATTACCACCCATTTCCTTTATCCATGACAGCAAAAAGTTATTGTTTGGGAATGATTCATATTTATAAGCAAATGCAATTCCCTGGGTGCTGCTGGTTCTTGTGGCCAAAATGCATTGTCTAGGACAAATTACAGGAAAGGAGATTCCACTTGAACTTTAGGAAGAACTTCCTGACCATGAGAGCTGTTCAGCAGTGGAACTTTATGCCTTGGAATATGGTGGAAGCTTCTTCGTTGGAGGCTTTTAATCAGAGGCTGGATGGCCGGCTGTTGGGGTTGCTTTTATTGTACTTTTCCTGCATGATAGGGGATTGGACAAGATGGCCATGTGGTATCTTCCAACTCACTAAAGAGGAGCTATTAGCAGAAGTTCCAAAGTTTGCCAGACACCCAGAGGTGCTCAGCAGGTGCAAAATATGGATTCGTACAGGAGGCAGTAAACTTTAAGCGGTGTGAGAAAGATTGGAATAAATCAGCTTTACACATAAGACCCAGTCCTGTTCAATATCTTGATTAATGACTTAGATGAAGGGTTAGAAGGCAGGATCATCAAGTTTGCAGACGACACCAAATTGAGAGGGATAGCCAATACTCCAGAAGACAGAAGCAGAATTCAAAACAATCTTGACAGATTGGAGAGAAGGGCCAAAACTAACAAAATGAAGTTCAACAGTGACAAATGCAAGATACTCCACTTTGGCAGGAAAGACGAAATGCAAAGATACAGAATGGGAGACAATGCCTGGCTCGAGAGCAGTACGTGTGAAAAAGATCTTGGAGTCCTCTTGGACAACAAGTCAAACGTGAGCCAACAATATGATGTGGCAGCAAAAAAAGCCCATGGTCTAGATCTAGTGTCTAGATCTAGGGAAGTAATGCTACCCCTTGGTTAGAACACACCTGGAATATTGTGTCCAGTTCTGGGCACCACAATTGAAAAGAGATATTGACAAACTGGAATGTGTCTCTGTGACTAAAATGATCAAGGGTCTGGAGAACAAGCCCTATGAGGAGCGGCTTGGGGAGCTGGGCATGTTTAGCCTGAAGAAGAGAAGGCTGAGAGGAGATATGATAGCCATGTATAAATATGTGAGAGGAAGCCACAGGGAGGAGGGAGCAAGCTTGTTTTCTGCTTCCTTGGAGACTAGGACACGTAACAATGGCTTCAAACTACAAGGAAGGAGATTCCATCTGAACATGAGGAAGAACTTCCTGACTGTGAGAGCCTTCAGCAGTGGAGCTCTCTGCCCTGGAGTGTGGTGGAGGCTCCTTCTTTGGAAGCTTTTAAGCAGAGGCTGGATGGCCATCTGCTTTGAATGCAATATTCCTGCTTCTTGGCAGGGGGTTGGACTGGATGGCCCATGAGGTCTCTTCCAACTCTATGATTCTATGATTCTAATACTGTAAGGTTTTGTTGCAGGCCCTGTTTACAAATGCATATGTTGAGTAAACCATTTTTTTCTGTTTTTGACAGCCAGGTAAAAAAGAAGGTGCCAACAAACTTCAACGAGATGAATTCAGCCCAGAAAAGCAAAGCCATGTAAGCATCAATAGTGCAATTGTTAATGCATTGCAGGGGATTGGACAGGGCAGTCCTTGGGGTCTCTTCAAACTCTTAAGATTCTTATTCTATGATCAGGGAGATAAGCTCTCATAACCAGCAAGACCCAAAACCTGACTCCAACCAAAAATAGTTATGACAAAAAAGGAAAGGAGGCCCATCGTATAGTTCTGTTGTGCTGACAAACGTCACACCACAGTACCATGGGTGTCATAGTCAATGATCCTTATATTTAACCAGCAGTGGATCCAATAGGGCAAGTCTGACACACGGCCATAGCTGTCTTAGCAACTCTGACACTACGCATCAGTCAGTTGTTGCTGCTTGGAATGTCCTGCAGCAAGCTATGCATTGAGGGCAGTCAAGAATACAGTGGCAATATCACGATGTTCCCTTTCCAGTCTGCATATAGTGCACAACCCATTCTGTGGTGTGAGCATGCTTCACAGTAGCAAGACGTAGTGCTGACCCCACTGAAGGCCCTACTGGTTAAACAAGTGAAAATTAAATCCATCATGGTCAGACTTGAGGCTCAGGTCGGTAAGCCACACATTCCTTATTTGAAAACAGCTTCCAAAGAGGCATCCATGTTAGTCTTTTGAGTGTTTGGGTGTCAGTCATCTTCTTTGGGGGTCTTACTTGCCTTTAGACTTCTGGCTTCCTCCTGCTATGCTCTTGCAAAAGTCAGTAGTCCGGGTAAGTCAGGCTGTCCTTGGGAGGCTCCCTGTTTTCTGTCCCAGCATTGGGATGACTCACTTGCCAGAAGCCAAGTCCTTTTTTGTGAAGTGGGCTTTCCAAATCTAGATTTGGCACTTGGCCTGTGTCACTCTTGACTCTTTTGTTCTCTTGCTGCAGGGGAATATGGGTGGGTACTTCCTGAAAGTTCAACCAAGGCAATTCTGATTCTCTCTTATCCTCTCATGCACCCCCCCCCCCACCACTGCTCTTCTCATCTGACCTAAAGTCCTATTTGTGTCATAGAAATGTTCACAGGTCAAGCAGACACTTACACGAGGCATTGCAGTACCGTCCTGTTTATCCAAGAGATCTAATTTAAGAAATGTTTGAATTGTGTATGAAGAATAAAGCCTGCAAATCCAACAGAAACAGAGAAAAGCAATCTGGGTGCTGGAGACGGCTTGCAGCTTTTCTGGCACTTACCGTATATACTTGAGTATAAGCCGACCCAAATATAAGCCGAGGCACCTAATTTTACCACAAAAAAACTGGAAAAACGTTTTGACTCGAGTATAAGCCGAGGGTGAGAAGTGTAGCTGCTACTGGTAATCATCAGGAGGTTAAATGTTTTTGAGTATTTACATAAAACTGTAATTTAAGTTAAGACTGCCCAACTCTGATTCAACCAGTATTCTAACCTCCTTCAATGTAAATGTGCTTACCTATTACCTATAATGATAGAATAAAATAATAACATGTAATAAAAATAATAATAGAGTAAATAATGGAAATTTAATAACAATAGTAATAATAAAGTAATAAATGTAATAATAATAATAAAGTAAAATAATAAATGTAATAAAAGTAATAATAGAATAAAATAATGTAAATGTAATAATAATAGAGTAAAATAATAGATGTAATAAAAATAATACTAATAGCAGAGTAAAATAATAAATAACCTTGACTCGAGTATAAGCTGAGGGTCTAAAAAAGGGTCTGAAAAACTAGGCTTATACTCGAGTATATACAGTAATTCAGAGTGCTGCTATTAATGTTATTATTAGAACTTCATTAGAGTAATATAAGGGGCTGGCATATCACAGCTTTTAAGAAAATACACACAGACAACCCAGAGAGAACTCTGAAGATAACATTTATTTATTTATTTTATTTACGGCATTTCTACCTTGCCTTTCTCACCCCGGAGGGGACTCAAGGCAGCTTTACATACAGGCAACAATTTGGTGTCTTACAGCACAATGTACACTTAAATAAATATTAAAATAGAACTAAAAGTACATTAAAACAGTTAGAACATTTAAAAACAATGCATTCAGAGTTAAACACATAAGCCACCAGGGTAATCTGGGCTGTTCCAGTGGTCATTGCGCATTGTTCCAAGTCTATCTATTGCACAATTTCCTGCATCAGTCAAGAGCAGGGCCTCCCCAAATATCTTAAACTCTGTGGTGGTTCATAGAGGGAGAGACGTGCGCACAGATAAGCTGGGCCAGAACAGTTTAGAGCTTTATAGGCTAAAGCCAACACTTTGAATTGTGCTTGGTAGCAGATTGGCAGCCCATAGAGCTGATGTAACAGGAAGGTTGTATGCCCTTTGTACTCCGCTCCAGTGAGCAATCTGGCTGCCACCCATTTGACCATTTGTAGCTTCTAAACAGTCTTCAAAAGAGGCCCCATATAGAGTGCATTGCAGTAGTCTATTCGGGGATGTAACATTGCCTCTTTGGGGTTTGTTGTTGCCAGATCCAAGTGCTACATGCCTTAGTTAATTACCATCTGGATTACTGTAATGCGTTCTATGTGGGACTGCCTCTGCAGAGTTCTTGGGAACCTCAGCTGGTCCAAAGAACTGCAGCCAGGTTGCTCACTGGGGCTGGCTACAGGGAGCAGGGAACCCCCCTGTTGCTGCAGCTTCACTGGCTACTAGTCTGTCTATTGGCACAATTCAAAGTGCTGTTTATGACCTTTAAAGCCCTAGACAGCTCAGATCCAGGCTGTTCCCTTTTATGAACTTGCCCAGCCCCTGAGATCTTCAGTGTCCCACCTCCATCTCAAACCAGAGAGCGGGATTTCCTTCTCGGTAGCTGCCCTTCATTCTGGAACTCCCTTCTTTTCAGGGAAGCCAGGACGGCCCCCTCCCTGCTGTCCTTCTGGCGACAGGCTAAAACCTTTTTATTCAGGCAGGCTTTTAAAGAAGAAGGTTTTTAAGATCATGTCAGTGGCTGCTCTGGGTTTTTATGTTTTTTATGGATTTTATCTGAATTGTTTTAATATTAGTGATGTCTAATTCTCTTTAATATTCGTATATTTGTATATTTTAAATTGTATGCTGATGTTTTGTGTTAAGCCGCTTTGAGTGTCCTGTAGGAGAGATAAAGCGGGATATAAATAAATATAAAAGTAATAACAACAACAATAACAACAATCCATAGAATATTGAGGGTTTTTCAAGCCATCCCAGTGTAAATCCAAGTTTACACTGTATTGCTGGTTAATTAATCTTGTATGTAATAATCAGACGTCTTCCATGCAAGGTCCTGGCTGCTTTGGGGTGTATAATTGCATGAAAAGGGGTCACTCTAATGTAATTCAGAGGCAGAACATAGAATGGCATCCTTTGCATAGAATGACATTTGAATTATTCAAAGGAATGTGGTGGGTTTGTGTCTGCTTAAAAACAAAACAAAAGCCAGCTGAAACAGCCAGGACATGCGGTTCAGAGTTAGGAATGCACTGATTCCCAGATCCTCTTCAGCCAAATCCCACAAATCCTGTAACAACAAACCAGAGATGAACTTGCAGCACTGCCTAGTTTGGAAGAAGTCAGCAATGCAGCCAACAAAAAAATAAAGCCAGTGGACCTGATGGGATCCCTGCTGAAATCTTTAAAGAGGGTGGACCTGAACTGCAACAACAACTCCACCAGCTCATTGAAAAAGTGTGGATGACCAAAAAAAGGATCACCTTTCCATCACCTTTTCACCTTCATCACCTTTTCACCTTTTCATCACCTTTTCAAAAAAAGAAGGGGGGGGGGGGAGAACAGATTGCGGAAACTAATCTTTGCTAGGAAAATCCTTGCAAGAATCTTTGCAAACCGCCTTCTACCTGATCTTCACTGCACAACAGCTCCAAGAAAAAAGCAGGGAACAAAATCAACTTCTGTACATTGCATTAATTGACCTTGCAAAGGCATTCGACACAGTGAATCGCAGTTCTCTTTGGGCCATGCTCTGCTATGTTGGTAACCACCTCTCCACAAAAGTCAACATTGAAACTGAAATACAACACCACTTGAGCTCTGCGAGTGCAGCATTTTTCCGAATAAAGCAGGGAGTGTTTGAGGACCGAGACATCCATAGGGGAGACCAAGTTGCTAGTTTATAAAGCGATTGTCCTCCCAACCCTGCTATATGCCTGTGAAACGTGGACTGTCTACAGACGTCACACTCAACTCCTGGAATGATTCCATCAGCTTTGCCTCCGAAAAATCCTGCAAATCTCATGGGAAGTCAAACAGACAAAGATCAGCATACTGGAAGAAGGAAAGACCACCAGCACTGAATTGATGCTCCTACACCATCAACTCCACTGGATTGGTCATGTTGTCCGAATGCCCGATCATCGTCTCCCAAAGCAGTTACTATACTCCCAACTCAAGAAAGGAAACATAATGTTGGTGGACAGGAAAAGGGATTTAAAGATGGGCTTAAAGCCAACCTTAAAAACTGATATAGACACCGAGAACTGGGAAGCTCTGGCCCATGAGTGCTCCAACTGGAAGTCAGCTGTGACCAGCAGTGGTGCAGAATTTAAAGAGGCACGAATGGAGGTCGAGAGGGAGAAATGTGCCAAGAGGAAGGCGCGTCAAGCCAACCCTGACTGGGACCGCCTTCCTCCTGGAAACTGATGTCCTCACTGTGGGAGAACATGCAGATCAAGAATACTGCTCCACAGCCACCTTCGGACCCACCGCCAAGACACTGCACTTGGAGAACCATCACCCTTGGGATCGCCTTAGTCAAAGGTTCCCCAATGGTCTGTTCTACTGATCCCCATTTTATGAAGGGGAAAAATGTTACCTGTTGCATGTGCATGGAGAGTTTTCTGTTTTACACCCCTTTCTGTGTTAGCAATTTGGTTAGAATCAAGGTAAGTGAATTCCTGCTGAATACATTAAGTTGCATTATTCAGAAGGCTGGGAATACTTATTTCTACTGGGAAATTCAAGCCTTTTATGACTTTTCTTTATGACTTTACCTGCATAATGCCAGCAAATAATCTTTCTCCTCTTTCTCCCTCCCCTCCCCCAGAGTGGAGGAAATAGCACAGTTTCACATGACTATATCTGACCCTTTGTTCAAAGCGAACCCACTGGCAGTCATCAGTGAACATCTTTCCAAAAGACTGATGCAGGAAAGGGAGGGAGAGCCATTGTAACATCAACATTGGAGCTGCTTGAAAGCACAAGGAATTGAATGCTCAAGACGCGCTGCCCACTAGGCCAGCACAACTTTCAAGAGTCTGCAAGATTATGACATCCAATGACCTTGTTTTCTGTCAACAGAAATGATGCTGCCAACACTGATGAATATGCTGCTATTGCTGGCTACAGCTTTCTCCGCTGTTTTGCTAAAAGCTTTGTAGATCTGTGACTATTCTCATTTCTCACTCTTTGATAAACCACACAGCAGATGTTCCTTCTTTTTCTTCCCCCTCCCCCTCTCTCTTGCTCTCAATTTTCGTTCTTTCTTAAAGTAGAGTCTAAGCTGCCATCTTCTCCAGTGGAAGGAATATAGTTTTTGCAACATTTCCCTCAATTTCTTTTGTATTTAAGAAGGGCTAATGGATTTGCATTTTCTATTTTCCAAATTCTATGGGCAATAAACATGCTATTTTTGGCAATTCCGTTTGTACATGTCCAATTTAATTTATCACTGTACCAAAATTCTAGGAAACATCAGTATTTCACAAGCTTTGATTTATCTAATAGTAGTTGTTTATTATGAAGCTCCTTTTTGTAATATAACAATAAAAGAGACAATCCCATCCTAACTGTTCTAATAAGGGACACTAATTAAAGAGACGTGCATCTTTGAATGCACAGCTTTGTTTATTGATGGAACAATTATGTTGATTTTTGCAGTCTGACGTAGAGGGTCGTAATGACATAAAACATTGAAAAAATGCTCTAGAAAGAGGTATTAACGAAGAAAAAATTGCAGGAGTAAATTCCACACCAAAAGGTGTTCAAAGTCAGCCTTACATAGGAAACATAATAATCACCATTGAATTTTATCAGGACCCTGTGGGTGATTGTTAGGCTGTCTTTCCAGAGAGCCATAACTGGAATACTAGTCTAATGTGATAGAAGATACTTTGTGACAAAGATGTGACAAAGATGCCAGTTGGGCAGCAGGAGAAAACTCGGGCTACAATAGCATCCCAAAATATCTTTAAGGAAAAATATGAATTTTTCCAGCCGTCTCTTAGGCCAGGTAGGGCCCACATGATCAGATTATTCCAGGGCCTCGGGTTGTGTTGGCTGAAAAGGAAAAGTGGAATACATCATTGCAGTTCCCCAGATAGCCTCTTATATCAGGTTAATTTTTCTCTTGTTTGAAATGATTGTAAATTTCTGATGGCCTTAATAAATCATTTTGTATTTCTTTTGTATGCACAGCTTGTTCATAAAGGTGTTTTTGATTCTCCAACCTCACTTGTGCCCAGAATCCTTCCTACAAACATAGGTGTGTATTAAAGTTTCTGACTGCGAAAATGTATTGAATTTTGCTCCTCCTTTTTGGTGGAAATGTCAAGATTGCCATGAGTAAAAGCTCTGTGACAGCAGGCAAAATTGCTCTTGAGCAGTGACATCCTTGGAAAATCTCTATGTTCCTTACAAGATCTCTACATCCCTTATTTCTCATTTCCAACAAAGTATTACAGGTAGATACTATGGTTGAAAGTGTTACAGGTTACTGAAGCCCCTTCCACACCGCTGAATAAAATCCCACATTTGTTCCATCCCAAGGCTGGGAATCACATCTATACTTGACACACAATCCAGTCCAAGGTAAAATAGCAAAGCAGTTTATTGAAGAATGTATATAAAAAACAATCCACCAAAATAGTGTAAAAATGTATGTCCAAAAAAACCCCAGGAATAACCCTCAAAGTTCAAAGTACATAAAATTGATCAAAAACCAGAAATACAAAAATAGGATAAATCCAAACATGCAGTACAGAAACAGTCCTTAGGAACTTGAAACATGAACACAAGAAACATGAACACAAGAAAACCTGAAACTAGAGATCCCTTGGAAGACTTGGCAAGAGTTCTATACACCAAAATCAATGTTGTCTGTACTGAAGAAATGATCTGCTGGTGTCTAATATAGACAGAAATCCATGCTGTTTCCCTTCAAAAGCTGATAAGGGGTTAGGCTTTTTGGCCAATAAGCAACTTGACCTTTGAACTGTCTCATGAAAAACTCTTGTCGACGGAACATCAATCTCCTATCTAACTGCTGCTCATAAGCCCATCCATCTGGAGTTGCGTCTTCCTCTCCTGAGTTCATTTCTGTCTCTGACCTTGCATCTCTAGGGAACTGCCTTTCTGGAAAGTGACCTCCCTTGGAGAGAGAGCTCTCTGTAACAGATTGGGGATGGAGCGATCAGGCAGCTTCATAGCTGGAAGTGCAGTCTGATTGGCTGATGAAATTGGAGGGAAAAGGCCTGCAAGGCTAAAGCACAAAACGAGCTCAGGCTTGCCAGGGATATTAAAAACAATAAAAAGGGCTTCTTTTCTTATGTCAGTAGAAAAAGGAAAAACAAGGAGGCGATAGGGCCTCTTCGAGGAGAAGATGGGGCAATGCTGACAGGGGTAGGGAAAAGACAGAACTACTTAATGCCTTCTTTGCCTTGGTCTTCTCACAAAAAGAAAGTCATCTTCAACCTCAGCAAGATGGAGTGGATGAGGGATTAGAGGACATCCAACCCCAAATTGGGAAACAAGTCGTCCAGGAATACCTGGCCGCTCTAAATGAGTTCAAGTCCCCAGGGCCAGATCAACTACACCCAAGAGTATTGAAGGAACTAGCGGAAGTCATTTCGGAACCATTGGCAATCATCTTTGAGAGTTCTTGGAGAACGGGAGAAGTTCCAGCAGACTGGAGGAGGGCCAATGTGGTCCCAATCTTCAAGAAGGGAAAAAAGGATGACCCAAACAATTACCGTCCGGTCAGCCTCACATCGATACCAGGCAAGATTCTGGAAAAGATTGTTAAGGAAGTGGTCTGCAAACACTTAGAAACAAATGCGGTCATCGCTAATAGTCAACATGGATTTATCAAAAACAAGTCATGCCAGACTAATCTGATCTCTTTTTTCGATAGAGTTACAAGCTGGGTAGATGCGGGGAATGCCGTGGATGTAGCGTACCTGGATTTCAGTAAGGCCTTCGACAAGGTCCCCCATGACCTTCTGGCAAGGAAACTAGTCCAATGTGGGCTAGGCAAAACTACGGTGAGGTGGATCTGTAATTGGTTAAATGGACGAACCCAGAGGGTGCTCACCAATGCTTCCTCTTCATCCTGGAAAGACGTGACAAGTGGAGTGCCACAGGGTTCCGTCCTGGGCCCGGTCCTGTTCAACATCTTTATGAATGACTTAGATGAAGGGCTAGAAGGCATGATCATCAAGTTTGCAGACGACACCAAATTGGGAGGGATAGCCAATAGTCCAGAGGACAGGAGCAGAATTCAAAATGATCTTGACAGATTAGAGAGATGGGCCAAAACTAACAAAATGAAGTTCAACAGTGACAAATGCAAGATACTCCACTTTGGCAGAAAAACGAAATGCAAAGATACAAAATGGGAATGCCTGGCTCGAGAGCAGTACGTGTGAAAAAGATCTTGGAGTCCTCGTGGACAACAAGTTAAACATGAGCCAACAATGTGATGTGGCGGCAAAAAAAGCCAATGGGATTTTGGCCTGCATCAATAGGAGTGTAGTGTCTAGATCCAGGGAAGTAATGCTACCCCTCTATTCTGCCTTGGTTAGACCACACCTGGAATATTGTGTCCAATTCTGGGCACCACAATTCAAGAGAGATATTGACAAGCTGGAATGTGTCCAGAGGAGGGCGACTAAAATGATAAAGGGTCTGGAGAACAAGCCCTATGAGGAGCGGCTTAAGGAGCTGGGCATGTTTAGCCTGAAGAAGAAAAGGATGAGAGGAGATATGATAGCCATGTATAAATATGTGAGAGGAAGCCACAGGGAGGAGGGAGCAAGCTTGTTTTCCGCTTCCTTGGAGACTAGGGCATGGAACAATGGCTTCAAACTACAAGAGAGGAGATTCCATCTGAACATGAGGAAGAACTTCCTGACTGTGAGAGCTGTTCAGCAGTGGAACTCTCTGCCCTGGAGTGTGGTGGAGGCTCCTTCTTTGGAAGCTTTTAAACAGAGGCTGGATGGCCATCTGTCAGGGGTGATTTGAATGCAATATTCCTGCTTCTTGGCAGGGGGTTGGACTGGATGGCCCATGAGGTCTCTTCCAACTCTTTGATTCTATGATTCTATGAGGGAGTTGCTTAGCAACTGGAGATGGGCGAAGACAGGGAAAGGAAGGAGCTAAGGCAGCCATAATTGTCAGTTGGGAGCTTGTTGTTTAAAGAGTTAGGAGTTTTGAAGAGGAAGGAAGGAAGGATTGATTTTGGGAACGGTTGTTAAAAGATACCTCTTTGAGGAAAATAGTTAAAGCCTTCGGGGAGAAGGAGCAAGAAATATAGTATGCCTCTATAGTGTTAGAGTGCTGGTGTGGAAAGAGGATTCAAAAGGTTCAGAACAACCTGTTTGTATTCCTGTGTGTGGAACGTTGCTTTTAAGAAACTCAAGTTATAGAACCATTCTCTGTAAAAGTAAAGCCTGTCAGTTTATTGGAACCATTACACATCTTTACTTTTCAAGAACAAAATAAACAACATATTCTTGTTTTATTTCATCTGAAGAGTTTGTGTGTCTCCTTGAACATTCTAGTGAAGGAAGTGGCCTATGAATCATAAATGATGGCAACAAAAGAAATCTTATTAAATATTTGGTGGCTGCAAAGAAAAATATAATATGCAGTGGTAGCATCCCACTATCCTCATCATCATCATCATTTTATTACTTATTAATTGCCCTCCATCCAAGATGCTCTAGGCGATTTACAAGCTAAATTGTAAAGGATAAAAATACAAACATACAGATATTGATAAAATTAACATAGATCAAATGCTCTAATGAAAAGCCAGGTCTTAAGTGCTAGAGTAAAACGCCCTAAATCATGCATGGCTCTCATGTAGGGCGGCAAGGAATTCCATAAGACAGGGGCAGAAATAGAAAAAGCCCTGCGTCTGGTCCTTTCCAAGTGCACTTCTCTAGGGCCCGGTATATAAAGTAGGTTGCGTTGGGATGGGCATTGCGACCTCCGATGATGGGAGAAGGAGAGGCGGTCCCTAAGGTACGATGGACCCTGGCCGTAAAGAGTTTTAAAGGTCAGAACTAGCATCTTATACAGGCCACGGTACTCAGTTGGAAGCCAATGTAAATGTTGCAGCACTGGTGTTATATGGCATTTCATGGGCGTTCTTGTGAGTAGCCTGCCTGCTGAACAATACGGAGCTTTCAGGTCGTAGACATCGGAAGGCCAACATACAGGGCGTTGCAATAGTCCAGCCTAGACGTGACCGTGGCATGGATGACTGTTGCCAGAGCCTCATCAGATAGGTAGGGTGCCAATTGCCTCGCTTGTCGTAGATGGAAAAAGGCCTGTTTGCTGGCAGCAGCGACCTGAGCTTCCATTGTCAGCTGAGAATCCAAAACAACACCCAAGCTCTTAACGGTAGGCGAGGGAGATAGGGCAGCACCATCGAAGATGGGTAGCAAGTGGGTCAGACCTATTGAGCAGAGAAACTCAGTCTTCGCCGGGTTCACCTTCAGTCTACTAACACGTAACCAGTTCGACAGAGCCTCCAGACATAAGGTGAAATTGTCTGGTATTGACGTTGCTCCAGACTCCAAACGCAGAAGGAGTTGGGTGTCATCCGCATATTGATAGCAGTCTAGGCCGAAACTCTGAGCCAAACCAGCAAGGGGTCTAATGTAGATGTTGAAGAGAAGAGGGGAGAGAATTGCACCTTGGGGTACCCCACATAGGAGGGGAGATCTTTCAGAGACTTGATCCATATACTCCACACATTGACCGGTTTCGGAGAAATGAGTTGAACCAATTGAGGGCCATCTCAGGCAGGAAAACCCACTAAATAGCCTTGGCTAGGAGTGAAATGAAGCTTAGTTGTGGATTGAGCCTAAAGCTGCAACTAATGAAAGGGAATCTGTGGTCCAAATCCTGGTTTAGAAGAGAGAAAACCTGGAGAGAGTCATGCTTTGTTTGGGTGAGAATTTGAACAAAGCCTATCCATATTAGGATAAGAATGCATACAAGACTCTGCTATTTTTCCTGTAAAACATGAGAAATGGACCTGTAAATGCCAGAATTAACATTCTTCAAGACAGAAAATAATTTCTAAAATCATTTCCCCCCTTCTCTAAGAGGCTCCTTGCGACTGTGAGTGATCATAGCATGTGCCCCTGAGTCCTCACAACTAAAAATAGCCAAATGCCAGCTTGCCTTAGTTTCTATAGAGACAACCAGTTGTCAGGCTCCAAGTTCAGCCAGGCATCCCGGGTGTCTCCTGCTGCCACAATGAAGTGCGGCTGCACATATTA